AATACGTTGCTGGGATTAGATACGAGTTTCCCATCATCCAGAAGATGGATGTTAGCTGTGCCATCAGTGTTAGATTTGTTGTTCGGAAGAAGAGGTTTCATCTTTTTCCAGAATAAACCAGCAGATGATGTTCGATGTTCAACTTAATTTGAGATGCTCTTCTTCAATAGCAGGTTTGTGGGTTACGTTTCCCTTTCCACTTCGTTTTAATTGATACGTTTTGCGTCTAAGGTTGAAATTGAACCGCATGAACGACTGTAAAAAAATGATCTGTTTTACTTTCGTTATTTGGTAAAATAAGCTTAACTGAACAGAAAACCGAGGCTTAAAGGAAAATGTTAGAAATGTAAGCTTATATTTGCGCCCGATGCAGTCTTTCCTTCAACAAGCAGCTGTTCTGTCAGGAGTTCAATTTACGAACGAGCAAAACTGAAACCCGGGCTGACTGAAATAATTGATCAGAGGTTACCAATATTTGATAAAACTTCCTCTATTAAAGCTCAGTAAAAATGTTATCTTTAAATTTTTGGTACAGAAGAATTTTCGTATGTAATGCTTCACGTAAAACAGAAATTTGGTAAAACTCTAATGTACAAGTCTTGCTCGCCGAAAGCATTTACATGTAAATGGCTTTCGACGCCAGAAAAGTTTTACAATCAAAGCTTGTACTGAATTTTATTGTCGCCAAATCTTTGAAAAATTTGAAAACTCTAAAATTCCCGCTATGAAGCACTAACCTCGAAAGGTTGATACAGACCAGTTTGTTGGTTTTTTGGTCAATCTCCGAGTGCCTCCGGAAGAATTATTAGATTATTCCATATTTCAGAAGATGCCGAGAAAAAGGACAAATAAACAAACTGTCGTCAGCTTGCAACCCACGGGCAAATGGATCGAACGTATTAACCAATCAGAACGCGCGCTTTGCTAGGGCTATGTTATAAGATTCATTACAGAACGTCTTATGTGTACAGTGATCAAGGATTATCATCAGCGTGTAAAAAGCGCTTGACTTTAATCGAAGTCCTCGGTGAAAGCAGAACACACAGTCTGACAATTGTAGTTATGACAACCATTTCGGAGAGTGTCTTTTTGACTCGGATATGAGCAACAGGGCTAATTAAAAAATAGCGGAAACGTATTGCTGAATTTCGGTTTCAAAATGGGTATCTTTATCTTGGTTAACTACAGAAAACAGAAACTACAGAAAATAGTCGTTCAGCATTTTCGCTATGTGAGGTCGAGTCTGATTCTCACAGTGTGATATAGTGTTAAACGTTATTAATTGAAATGGCTACTTGAAAAGCAGCTTTGCAAAATCTTTGCGATCGTGGAATGATTGCTATTCAAAAAAGGGCAAATTGAAGTATGAAATATATTATGGAACTGTTCGCTAAGAAAAAGCATAAACGCGAAAAAACGGAACAAAGGAAACCGTTTTTCAAAATTGATATAAGAATCAAAAGATAATGAAACAAATACAGATGGCGACAATTATAACATGATTACTAATTAGACCAAGATTTAGAAAATTTTAAATAATCCTTCTTTTTTGATGCAGTCACGTTAAGTAGCGTCACATGATATTAAAATAACCTCTAATTCATCGAAAAGAGCTTACCTTATTCCACTTTTTTTAGAAATGATATTCCCTTGTTTCTCTAAAGTTGGTCCAGAGTGAAAAGCTAACTCTTAGCGAAACTCTTCACAAACTTAATGAAACTGCAGCTCGTAAATTGTTCAAAGAATATTGTTTTCAGTGGCGGATGGGTGTCCTATAAACCGTAGAAAAATAAACAAGAATGCTACTGTTATCATGTTAAAATACGTCCGCGCGAAGTTTTTGTTTTGGAGATGACCGACAAGGCACTTCACGATGAGCCCCGTGGAAAACTCTGATTTCCAACAAATAATTTATTTTCATGCCGGCGATTGCAGAAACTACCACGCAAAATGTGCTTAGATGATGGAAACTGAAAACAATTGACAAGCATCAGACAAGACCTTTGTGACATCCGGCATAATCAAAGCAAGCCAACTGATCTTGATTTCCCCGGATATTACAAGAACGGAATCTCCTATTTGATGGACGTGAAATTCACTAGCAGTTAAAACAGGGAAATGATGAAAGATATTGGTTTGTTCAAAGTTGACCAAAGTTAGGACCTTTCATAATCTGCATCTGAGTATGTTTAATGTACCAGTTAAGAATAATGCAGAGTTATAATTTAACTAATTAATGCATATCGGCACAAAAAGGAAACCGGGTTTCACCAGGAAAATTAATTTACTGTTACTCGTGCTTATTTTCTTAGTAGTCATTTGATTTAATATTGGCAAAAGAAGAAAACTGAGGAGATCTCTATTTCTTTCCACGTTCTTTCCACCGTCTACACATGGTTTATTTCATATATTCATTTTCGCACGAATTTCTGAAACGGACACACGTGTCTTTGAAAAGTTCCGCTATAGACAAACTTTGAATATTTATTTGCCCTCGGAGCGACGAAAAATAAACAACAGAATAATCTTCTGTCCGCTCAAAGGATAGTTTAGTTTGTTTTGTTAACAGCCCAGTTTTATCTGTTAAATTGTGCTGTCTGTTCTTTGAACTGACTGTCTTGTATTGTAACGAACCCAAACCGACTGCATGTAAGCAACCAATGTGCCGTAAATATATGGTGGAGAAGTACGAGAATCAAAGACGTCTCGTTGTTTCTTTTCCAGGTTCATTTTCTGAACGACGAAACAGCTTCCCAAACTATCGCGGTGTGAAGAAAAGTTCAGAACAAAATGAAATCTCCAAATAATACCGCTCGATCAAATCACGAACAGACCTTTAGGAATACTAACACTGGCTTTCGGGGAGAATCAAAGTTCAGTGAATTCTTCTTGCACGAAAAATTCGTTTGTGAAATTCTGTTAAGGTCTGTAGTTGCAGCAATTGAACAGATTTGTTTAGAGATCAATCAGTGGATGTTTTCGTGTATGAAACCAGCGTTGAATTAGCCTGAAATCTCAGTTTAAGAATGTGACCAATCAAATCATGTTTCTCCAGAGCCACCCTTTCCTAGTGCCAAGACCCCCGCGGGCTGAGATTGTTACAATATTACTTAGTTATCTGAACGCGGTATGAAATCATGACGTCATACTGGGTCAAACAGGTACCAGTGCGAGTTTTCACGTGTAGATATTGCCTTACACGATTTTATACCTATCTCAATTGCAAGGCTTCAAGAATCAAAGAAAACTTGAAACAATCTTAAGTTGCGAAAGTAGTGAGCCGGATGAAAATATGACTATAAACAAGAGACGTTGTGATGCTTAACGAACTGGGCGAGCTGAATCACTGTAATATCATTATGTCGTTTAACTCCTATCTTGAAAGAGTTATTTTCCTTGAGCGATCAATATTAATTTTTCTACAATTTTAAAAGGTGTTATGTAAACATGACGCAGTCAGACCTTTCCTTGAGTATGTTTTCGACCGCAGTTTCAATTCCACATGTTTTGTTATGATGTAATTTCTCTTCATGACAATAGCTCTAATAAATTTTGGAAAATGAACCTTACCTTATGAGAGGAAATGAATTTCGTATGATTGATATTATTTGCATATGTATTATTCACTATACTTTTTTCAGTCATAATAGCCCTGATGAACTTTGCAAAAAGAAAGTGACTTTAATGAGATCTGTTTAAAATCGATTTGATCATTCAAAATTGAGCTCGATCAACAAAACCTAGGCTGCCCAATTCAGTTGTCCTTTAAATTGATTATTTTTCATTTGGATTCACATATTACAGAGTAACACTGGCCTCATTTGGTGTTTTTCAGACAATATGGAGCTTTGCCTTCGTTTTAGTGAATAATGTAGGAAATTGCATACTTAATTTCTAGACTAAAATTGTACATTTTAATAATTAATCTATTTTTTTCCCTGGCAATTTTTAAACGCCATGCTAAAAAAAATTCTCAGTGTTATTCTTCAATTTTAGGAAATTTCATCTTTCGCTTATTGCACTGACAAAACTGTAAATGAAAAAGATACAGAACGTTTGGATGCAGCACATATTTTGACCAATAAGAACAGGTATATTCCCAAAATGATATAACGAAAATAATATTATAAAGCACTGATGGGATTAAAGCATGGACATTACACCTGAAATATGCGAGGTCAGAATGTTATACAACCGACCCGAAGTATGGATGTTATATGGCCGGCTCCCTCTAATTGATATGCTCACTTCTGTCTATATATGATGTAGTGTTACCTTCACATCGTATAAGCATAACCAGTCTACACTTAAACGATCAGAACATATAGTGTTCCACTTACTTCGCAAATTAGATTCCCTGGTGTTTGCTAAGGCTGGTCCAGCTTAAAAAAAAAGCAAACAAGAAAACGTGTAAGCATCGTCGCAGACTTAATAAAGAAACCAAAGCTCATAAATTATACAAAGCTTGGCGTTTTGCGATTTCGCGCCACCTGCCAATCACACGTACGTGATAGCGGAGCTTCGGCGGTCCGAAGGGTCGCCAAGCGGAGCCCCATACCCATATTGGAAAGAAAAGGAAACCCATAAATTGATTTTGTCATGGTTATCATGGCTAGCGGTATTGCTCGTGGGCGCGTATGCACGACGACGGAGTCGCGCAAGATGGCGGCCGTACTCCAACTGAAAGGTTGACGGAAACATAAAGTTAATAAAAGCTTAATTAATCGCCGTGGCGAGACTGATGTTTCGAGCGTCAGGCCCTCTTCAGAGCAAGGTGGGTGCTTGTAGGTTGTACGTGTGTTTATCGTTGATTTCCAACAACCCAGTTTTGTCCCCTTAAGGAAATACCGTGCGAAATGTCATCTGAAGCCGAGTAAGTGAAAACAATTGCTATCCGAGACAATTGAGCCGAATACCTTGATTATTTATTATCAAACATAGGTCCGCAATGCGCAGATGTGTGGCTTAAGAGTTATTCCAAGTTATGAGAATTGTTTTACTGACGTCTTGTTATACTTGTACTGTCAACTTAGCGGTAAATGGAATTCCGCAGGCAGTGGACAATTCCTCCAATAAAGACGGTTCAAACACACTACTTTCTCTCTCCTTTTTTGAGTCAATATATTTTGGAACTGAAATTAATTCTGTATTGAGTCACTTTGTTTGTAAATTTCGAGAAAGCAAAGTGAGATAGGAAATTTATTGTATGACTTTTTCCAATTTCCCGAAACTGAGGAAGACCAGTCGCCTCAGGCCTAGAGACTGCAGTCCCGTCAGAGTGCTTTTACATTCAATGTGATATGACGGCCGGCTACAAATCATAAGATCAGAGGGAACCGATAAAATGGAGAACAATGTGAAACATCCCACATCCCACATCCCACGGATAGAGCATGTATACTTTCGATATAGGGACTCCCGCTACTTTCAGTTGCAGTTCTGTTGCGAAAAAATCAAACGAATGCTCTCTCAACGTATAAAAGGTCGGGGATGCTCGTCGAAAAATTTGAATTAAGCCCCTAAAGGAGCGTCGGTCGAACTTTATTTGACCCCTAAAAGATACCGCCTAAAACAAAAAATAACAGCAGTGTTATTGGTATTTCTTTGAGTGCACCCTAAGTTAAAGAGAAAATGCTGTCGTGTCGTTGATCTAACAACACCCCCAAGTGAGAGCAAAGCACGCACGTCTCGGATTCGGCTAAAATTTATAATGCGAAGAAAAGGAAAAGACAGCTCGAGCTGAGTAGATCAGCATATATTGTTGTAATTTAATAGAAATACAGGGGTCAAGGTGGCAACGGAATTATCAGAGAAAGGAAATTAAATAAATAAATAAATAAATAAATAAATATACATTTATATAGCGCCATTTTCCACTAATTGTCCATGGCGCTTTACAATACTTTAAAATTAAAATCCTAATTCTTTTTTTAAAGGAACCTACCGCAGTGATTGTGGTTGTGAATTTACCTTAATTTTAGACGTTTGAAAGGTTTGAATAATGCGATGTGGTATTCATCTTTTTTTAATGAACAATGCTCTCAAGGGTAAATACTCGGGCTCGAATTCTCCCGAATGCGGATCGACGTATGCAGCGTATATACTGAAATATTCTGAGATATTTAACGACGCCTGACTCGTATATATGCCCCTTGTAAAAATACCATTGGATTCTATGGCGGCTAGACTGTATTTGTGAAGCTAGAATACTCTAGGATATTTTCGCTTTGGCCCAGTCAAATCAGACGAACTTCAGCCTACAAGAAATTGGCAAAATTAGACTAGCGTCAAGCCTGAGATCTCCTTTCTGTTCTTTTCTCTCTTTTTTTTTTTTTATTAAACTTAAGTGGATAATAGGAGCTCTGAAAATACTGTACTGTTTCTAGATCGAATTAAGACATTTAGTTTCATGGCACCTTTTTTCATTTCAGTGATCATTTCTGGCCAGAATTATTTCTTATTCACTGGTTTCACCACATGGATTACTCAAGAATTCTGCAAGAGAAGCCTCAAATGTCGCTAGCTAATTTTTGTACCGCCTCTTCTGCTGGTGCCCAACGTGGCGCAAAACAATTGCAAGATATGTTTTGGAAGAATTTTAAATGAAAAGTGAAAGTTAAAAAAAAACTGTCACACTAGATAGATGAAAGAGCCTTTGATAAGGTATGGTGTTTGGAGCACGGCTCTTAATATTAAGTGTTCAATATACCTCATCAGAGAAGGCGAGTGAGATTCTAAATTAACTTGCCTGATCTGTAGGCAGCCCAGTTCAACTCAGTGCTACCTCCACTGGTTGTTATCAAATGAAAGCGATCATAAAATACGTGCGTCCTACAAGAAGCTGGCGGTGTTAAGGTAGCGAGGAGCTCAGTAATGCTGACAGCATGCTGTGAAGGAGCATTTATATAATATGTCGGATTATTCTCGCATTTTGATTAGTTCTTACTTATGATCAATTGGAGGAGAGATGTATAGATCACGTCGTTAACGTTTCTTTTGGTTTCTTTATTTTACAATACAGATAGATTCCATGTTACCGTGCGTCGGTTCAGTAATAGATTCACAGAGGACGTCAAAATGTGGTAATGTGAACATCAGTGATGACACACTCGCTTTACGGCTCGTGTTTCACTTTTTTTGTTCTTACCGCATTTTTTAACGTCGTCTGTGATCTATTACTGAACAGACGCACGGTAATACGGAATCTGCTTGTTAAATCATATATCCTATATTGTTTTAATTATTGTGATTGGTTTCAAAAAATATATTATCTCCTACTTGCCAATATTTCATTTTGGTTTTTGGGATTGTGGTTAAGTTCCATTAAAAATGAATGACTAACGATTGGCCAGTATTTAAATCAGTGATATAAGATTCCATACTTTTACTTCTCCTTTAAATGGATTTTATCTGTTTTTATTTTAACTTAATATGAAAACAATTTAGTTTAACTTTTGACCTACTGTTATGTGCTCTCTTATATTTGAAATGCGATGTTTCAACTTCAGTTACTGGAAAAAAAGGAGATGACCGTTCATGAGCTAAAACTAGTAGTTAATTGCTTCATAGTTTTGAATACCACAAAATGTCAGCAAACATGACAAGAATTCTGGTAAGAATTTCAAGGTTTAAGGTAATTTCTAAAAGATTGTGAGATTGACTTGAGGAGATCAAACAGAGACGCACCCGCAATTTTTAGCAATAAACAAACGGTACTTTTTTAACGTAATGAATCGTTTGAATAATTTTTTTTCCAAAAAATATTTTTTTACCACCAAAAATAAAATGGTAAGAAAATGGAAACCCGTAGCACTGTTACTAGTAAGAATACATGAAGGGTGCCTTCGTTAGAATAAATTTGATAGCGATCATGATTCGGCATCCAATTTTAAGGCTATATTCTTAGACATGTTTCTCTGTTTGTTTGATCAGTATCATTAAATATTGAGCTGCAAAATTCCTAATAAAGTGACTTTGCCAAAGATAGACCGATTTCTTTTAATGTTTATGGCGATAACCAAGTAGAAGATTGCCGAAACCTCGCTTGAGGCGAACCACATGCGCAATCTATGCTAGCCGAAACACAATGAATTTGCTCATTTTAATTAGATCAGGTTTGGCTCATGTGAGGGTTCGACGATAGGTGTCACTTTGACAATAGGTGTCACTTTTGCCATTAGAATAACTAGTAAGACTTGTTATAGTTAAGCAACAAAAGACAAGAGAAAGAGGTTTGAGAAGAGAAGGGAAATTTAAAATGAGACAAATGCTCTTTTTTCACCTATCATTGTTCTTTTATTGTTATTGTAATCATTCTGCTGTAAGTATTCAATTGGAACTAGAAGAACGAGTTAATAAAATTTTCTTGCCTATAGAAGGTTAATAAATTAAATCGAACTTAATTAACATTGCAAACTAACGATAACAGAAGTT